GTGATATTCTGACTTGGGACGTGCTCCCGGAAGAGGAAGAAGTGCATCTCGGGCGTGCCCGCTCGAGGAAAATGCGCCCTAGGGGGTGGTATTTTGACTCGGGGCCCGCTCCCGAGACGCCTCTGCGGGAGGAGGAGGGGAGGAGGAGGAGGAGAAGGAGGAGAGGAGCAGGAGCAGGAGGAGGAGGAGGAGGAGGAGGAGGACCAGGAGGAGGAGGAGGTGCATCCCGCGCGTGCCCGCTCGAGGAAAGTGCGCCCCGGCGGGCGTCGTATCTGCCCCGGGACCCCCCCCCCCTCCCTGCGGGGAAGGGATCAAAGGGAAGGGGCTTCCCTTCGACTCCACTAGAACGTCGTTTAATTTCGCTTTGGGTAGCGCGCTTGAGGAGGAGAGCCCTGGGAGGGGGAGAACGGAGACGACGGAGACGACGGGTCGAACGGAGAAGCCCCTCACACACGCCGACAGGGTCGGCGGATTCTAAGAGAAAACCGCAATTGCGCACCGCCCGCCGCTGGCGCTGGCCACCGCTGGCGGCGGAGCTGGCGTGGGTGCTGGTGCAGGCGCTGGCGTTGGCGCGGCCATAGGCGCAGACGTTGGTGCTGGCGTCCACAGCCTCCTCAACCTCCTCGCCCTCTTCCAGCATCTCCGCCTCATCCTCCTTATCCTCAGCTTTGACCGTGGGGCCCGCGCAAGCGCCGACGCTGGCGTCCGATCTGGCGTCATCGGCAGCGTTGGTGCTGGCATCGGGGCTGGCGTTGGCGATGGGGCAGGCGATGGCGTTGGTGCCAGCGTAGGCGCAGGCGCTGACGACTTTGGACTCCTGGGCCTCCTCGTCCTCCACTGGCGTCTTCGCCACCTCTTCCCTTTCCTCCCCCTGCTCCTCCTTCTCCTCCCGAGCCCTGGGCTTGGGGTCGGCGTAGGCGCAGGAGTCGGCATCCGAGCTGGCGTCGGCGATGGTGATGATGCTGGCGTCGGAGCTGGCGTCGGTGCTGGTGGATGCGTTGGCGTTGGTGCCGCCGCAGTCGCGGGCGTTGGTGCTGGCGTCGTCAGCCTCTTCAGCCTCTTCAGACTCACCTGGCGCGTTCGCCTCCTCCGCCAATTCCTCCTTCATCTCCTCCTCCTCCTCCGGCTTGGCCTCGGGGCCGACGTCGGCGTAGGCGTTTGCTTATGGGCAGGCTTCATTGGAAGCCTTCGTGCGGGCGTCTGGGCTGGCGTCGGTGCTGGCGCTGGCGCTGGCGTTGGTGCCGGCGCGGGCGTTGGCGTCCAAGCTGGAGTCAGCGATGACGAGGATGCTGGTGACGGAGCTGGCGTCGGTGCCAGTGCAGGCGCTGGTGTTGGTGCCGGCATAGGCGCGAGCCCAGGTGCCGGCGCGAGTCCAGGAGCTGGCGGAGGCGCGGGCGATGGTCCGGCCAACCTCCTCTTTGCTCCTCTCCTCTGTCGCCTCCTCGGACGCCTCTTGCTCCGACGCCTCCTTATCTGCTCCTCTTCTGACTGCCCCTCCTCCGGCGCTTCTCCTGTCCACTGTCACCTGCTCGGAAGCCTCTTCCTCTTCCTCCTCCTTCTCCTCCTGCGCTCTGGGGCATGCCCTGGGCCTGGCAGCACCGCTGGCCCTGCAGATGCCGAAGTCCGCGCAGCCGTCGGGGAGAGTGTCCCCGGCCCGCTCTGGGCCGTCGTGTGTCTCAGCGGCGGCGGGGGCACCAGCCACCTGAGGCTGCTGCGGCTCGGCCGCGTCGCCGCGGTGGCCCTCAGCCCGCTCTGGGCCGTCTTGGACCTCGGCGGCGGCGGCGGGAGCGCCAGCCACCTCGGGTTGCTGCAGCTCCGCCACGTCGCCGCGGTGGTCCTCGGCCCGCTCCGGGCCGACGCGGACCTCGGCGGCGGCGGGAGCGCCAGCCACCTCGGGCTGCTGCGGCTCCGCCACGTCGCCGCAGTGGTCTTCGGCCCGCTCTGGGCCGTCGCGGGCCTCTGCGGCGGCGGGGGCGCCAGCCACCTGCGGCCCCGCCACCTCGCCGCGGTGGTCCTCGGCCCGATCCGGGCCGTCGCAGACGTCGGCGGCGGCGGGAGCGCCAGCCACCTCGGGCTGCTGCAGCTCCGCCGCGTCGCATCGGTGGTCTTCGGCCCCCTCCAGCCCGTCGTGGGCCTTGGCGGCGGCTGGGGCGCAAGCCATCTGGGCATGCTGCGGCTCCGCCGCGTCGCCGTGGTGGTCTCTGGCCCGCTCCGGGCCGACGCGGACCTCGGCGGCGGCGGGAGCGCAGGCCAAATGGGCATACGGCTCCGCCACGTCGCCGTGGTGGTCCTCGGCCCTCTTCGGGCCGTCGTGGACCTCGGCGGCGGCGGGGGCGCCAGCCACCCCGGGCTGCTGCAGCTCCGCCACGTCGCCGTGGTGGTCTCTGGCCCGCTCCGGGCCGTCGTGGGCCTCGGCGGCGGCGGGGGCGCCAGCCACCTTGGGCTGCTGCAGCTCCGCCATGTCGCCGTGGTTGTCCTCGGCCCGCCTTGGGCCATGGTCGGGCCCCTCGTAGCCCCCAGTGCTGGCGGGAGCGCCAGCCTCCTGAGGCCGCTGCTGCTCCACCCCGTCACTGGGGCGGCCCCCGAGCATGGCCTCGATCCCGG